CAATGGATATTCACATAGATTTATTGAGAAAAATCTGAAGCCAAAACAACAAGGTGAGAGTGTTTAAAGCACCAAAAAAGAGTTTCTTCATGAACATCTAGTCTAAAGGCGACATTACAGCAGAAAATTCTGAAAAACAGACTTTCAAGATCTCTGAGGAAAATGTTCTATCCGGCTGAACTTCGCATTACGTGTTCTAGTCGGTCTGTGATTTGAAGTTGTGAGAAGGATAAGCTCCCATTTTGAGCAGTTTACTTGCGCATTTGGAGCAGGTCAAATTTGCCTCACAAAGCAAGCTACTTAGAAACGCATCCCTGAACATTGCCCTGCCTGGTACTCCAAAGATTTTTAGAAGTCAGTCAAAACTCAATCTTGGATCATCTTGTCGATTCCGGCCACTACGCTTCACCAGAAGCCTCCTTTAGAATTATACATACAGTCAGAAGAGCTGGATCAATAAGAATGTAAATAAAAAACTTATGCATTGCAGAAACTATCGCTATCCACCAGTTTAAGCCTAACATTTGCGTACAAAAGCAGTATGCTCAATCCTAATTAATACAACTTTTAAAAATTCTGTTCTTAATAGCTATTAATTGGATAATTATTTCACCTTACCACTTTTTACTAGCCGATTATTACATGATTTCCTTTCAACTTTAATTAATTAGCACCTTTTTATTTCACCATAGAACACTATTTTAGCGAAGAAAAATTGATTATAAATATGACTGTAAGTGAAATCGTCGAAAAGAAAACTTTTCCTCCCTGAATTCCCTTCCTTCTTCTTCTTCAATGTTTTGAAGATGATCAAATGAATATTTCTAAATATTTTACTGAAACTGTAATTTTCACAATGAGTAGAACCTTTGCATAAAAAGTTAATTATATTACAAGTATCTGAAATGAGATCATATTATACGAATTTAATGCAACTCAGTTTCACCTAGTTACATCATCTCAAAATATAAATCTGTTAAGCACTAAGTATGATTCGATGTCATTCATCTGCTTAAGCAGCTGCCTAGAGTTGAATTGACTTCAAAAGTATGACCTATTGAATTTAATCAGATTAAGTATACCGTTGATGGAGGGGCACAGAAGAAAGAAACACCCGTTTGGTCTTTAGATTATTTTGATGTGTGTTAAGTACTGCTTATTGACTGGTTTTCAGTTACTTATTTTGCTAAGTATTATGAAACACTAAATTCAACTCCTAACCATATATAAATCTATGGTTTCCCATACTCATACCATAAAATAGAGAAGATTGTTAAACAAAATAACTCTGTTGTGCATTTACATTCGATACGGCAGTTGCGATCTAACTGGTCACAAAGTACTGACTAACGTCATGTCTGTCTAGCCCTTTTGATGCATATCAAATCCTACTAATTGCTTTGCACTGTGACCGCCAGCACAAGTAAATAGACAGCATTTGCACTATGTTCAAAAATGAGGTGACTCAAATAAGTTGTCAGAAGACCCTAAAACTGGGTTTTTTGTTATTTGGATTTCATCAGAAATTGTGCCTGAAACCTCAAGTAAATTAACAATCCCTGTGGAATTAAACAAACACTTTCGCTCATTGTTGTTTGAAAAGTGAATGTGTAATAAAAATTTCATATGACTTCAATCACAACCATAGATTGTTAGTACTAGGTGATAAAAACCTTGATTACCTGGATCTGCCTAATGATTCCTCAGTCAATCATATTTTAGGCAAATTCTTCATAAAATTAATGTGTTTCTTGATAAATTTTCCATTTAATTATTAATTCTATGTAATATGTCAATTTTTAACGGAATGATAACTGAACGTAAAAAGACTTTGCAACTATCATCATTCAAGAAACTGACAGATTCAAATTATATATCTTCCCATTGTTATATAAGACTGCAATTGACCAGTTTCATGTTGGCATATGTTCATCCTGTGCGGATTGCTTCGAAATTGCCTTAGGTCACAGGCTTTTTAAGCAAAGATGGACAGTGGCTAGCAGTGGAATACAGGACACACGTCCCGTCCTATTCGGGATTCGTCAGCCGAGTGTATCTATCTTTGCTTAATAAGTCAAAATTGTTTATCAATTGAGATTACTAAAAGCAAAATAATTATGAAGGTGTTTATTAATAAAAAGTGGAAATTAATTTAAAGAATATAATTTAGTTAAACAGTTTTATACATATAGTTTCCTCTATTATTTTAAAAAGAGCAAGAACAAAGATTGGTGCAGAAAAATATATGAATTCGTTTTATTTCGTTAGGTTCTCATCAGCTGCTTACAACCTAAAGTATTTTAAAATCAACGTTATTACAGATATTGACATAATTATACATAAGAGGGTGATTAGAGATGAATAAATGTATCATGGTGTAGCGAAGATCCCGATAGAGTTAATGAGGTCATAAAAAAATTTGTTTCGAATAAATAAAGTTTGGGAGAGAAAGTTCTAGAACATTGAGATAGTGATTAGAACTCATGGAATTAAAAACACATTAGATTATTATGTAATGAAGTAACTGAAAATAGATTAATGGTAATAAAGAGAGACATGAATTGAAATCGGTCAGTTATGAATTAAAGAGAAATGACAATGATGTAATTTAAACTTTAGAAAGAGTTAAAATAATCAATGGCGTAATAAATAAAAGGGGGGTTTGTTTTACCAGGGCAAAGAAAAATTATTACCGTCTCTTTGTTGTTTTGGACAGAACAATCAATTTAGCTGCAGGATAAGTTCTTGTCAATGCACTTTTTAGTCTCATATTGATTAATCCAGTGACATCATCACCTTTGAATTTAAGTGAAATAAAAATAGGTTTTTTATTTGCTGTAGTTTCTTTTGGTTTTTTATCTTCAAGTTTTCCATATTTCACTGGTTGAAATCATGAATCCATTGAAGCTACACCACCATGGAAAACCTGGAATAAATTTCACTGGGTATCCGTTATCTTTTAAACATTGTTTAACATTCACAATTTTCTCTTCTAGTGTATCGGCAGTACATATTCTTTCTATTCTGTGAAATAGTGTTTTGACAAGTGCCTTTTTGTAACTGATTGGACAAAAGCTATCAAAATCGAGATAAATCCCATTCCATGTGTCTTTCTTTTAAAACTGAACATTGAACTGTTCCATCCTTCCTTCATTTCGTCGCGACATCGAGAAAATAGAACTTGTTTTCCTTTTCATATTCCATAGTGAAATGGATATTTGGACGGGCTTCATTGAAAAATTTTAGCAGATTTGTTACATGCTGTTGATTATTACATACGATGTAGGTATCATCAACATACCTCGAATAATACATCATTTCATCAATCACTCCTTTGAGTTTTGTTCTTTGGAAGTTAGCCTGATCTCAGATCACTGTCTAATTACTGTCTCAATTCTTACTTAGGTTATTTCATTGTTACAGTTGATATCAGGTTGTAATTAGTACTCATATTTAGCACACTAAACCCTGAAAAAGCCCTTCAATTCAATAATATTCTCATACAAATTTTCATTCTATCTTTATAAAACAGGAGGTGTAGATATAATAAAAGATGAATAAATAAGTGTAATGCGATCCATATAACAGATGTTTTGTAATATCCTCCAGGAAATGTCTGAATTGGAATGGCAATTAATAAAATTATCATTACTAATGTAAAAAAGTGCTTTTAATCAATAAGCTTATACTAAACGTCTGAAGACATCCATTAACATGTCCTTCTTCTCATGTTTGAAATTTACACTTTATTAAATACTACTTTAATAATTTTGAGTAAATAATAGAGATTTCCAGTTCCAGTTTCATTAACAGAGTATATATTTGACCTACATTGACGAAGAAATATAGATGCTTGGATCATTTGAATCAATAAGTGAAAATAACTCATCGATGCTTAATTTATGAGAGTTAAAAAATAACAATAATAATTTAATTGCATTTCAAATAATTAAATTCAATGTATTTACTACAAGACTGATAAACAATAAACACGATTTTGAAAAGGTTTGCAAAATTTCATGGGATTATCTTCATTACTATATATACATATTACTAATCAATAATAAACAGAGCAATGATTCATCTCCTGTAAAACATGAATTATATTGAATCCGTGAGAAAGAAAAGTTCGTATTGGAAAAAAAATTGAACATCTGACTTTCTTTTCCCTGGATCCACAATAATTTATTCCATCATGTATCATCATAAATCTATTTTGGAACTGTGCTATTTCACAAAGTGAATTTTTTCAAAGATGAAGCCAAACAAATATACTTATTTTTCTGTCTTAGATATTAGTCTATTTATCATTCTATCTAGTCTTTCTTTACATAAAATAATTTATTATTAGTAAGGCCATACATTTATGTGTATAAAGTACTCTGAATAAATATGCAGATAGATACTAGCAGGACGAAGGGTTCAGTAGATGAATAAAAGTTTTTTGTAGTTCTCTCACTCCCTTTGATTGTCTTTAGATGGTTAAGCTGTAAAAATATGAAATTGTTAAGTAATGATAATCATGAATAAATAGTTATTTCATCTATGGAATTAACTAATTTGTACTTACAAAATTCTTAATACAGATACATGTTTGTAGTTGCCATAAGAAATGATATGTCCGTTTTGTATATAATGTAATCCCTAAGAAACATAGTTGGTTCGTTTTTACACAAATAAGCTGAACGAAAAATTACAAACCAACTAGTAGTTATGCACAAAATTTAATACACACATTTGCACACACTAGAATGTATATTGTACCATCGAAAATTTGTTTAAATCTTTATTTTCAACAAAAAAATTATAATAAAATAAAGGTGATTTAATAATCTACTATGCGTTTCAGCGCACAATTATCACAATAAATACCGTTTTATTCAAATAATCAAAATCAAGTTATGTATATTGTTTAACACCTATCAATGTAAACTAAATTAAAAATAGTTAATTCAACCAGTAAACCATCTAGTTGACTGTATCACTTCCCATGTAATAAGATGGATTTTTTCTGTAAAACTAAATGTCTGACATCAATTCCTACTATAATTATGACAAAATGTATAACTTTATTAATTATATATGGACTGATAACTATTACAATATCTCCTACAATCATAACTTGTCAAAAGATTAGTTGGGGCCTTGTTCATTCAATGTAAGTGATTTATATTGTTTATGTGAGATATATTTTTTAAATGTAAAAGATTATAATACTGTCTGTTGATCATGTTCAATATTTATTTAAATGAAATTGTTTAATCCTTGTCGTTAGGTAGATATTTTTTTATTTGTATATGATTTTTATTACCCTTTAATGAGACTATTGCAAAATGAATATTGGATTCACTTTTAAATCCCTTAGAAATATATATGCTTTCTTGTGTTATAATGGAACAATCTAGGGATAACTTAAATTACTAAGCTAATTGAAATAATCAAAATATAGACAACCAAACTTCAAATTTACAGATATCAGGAAACAGTAGCATTATTTAATACAAGACTCTTAGTTAGAATAGAATGATTATGAGTTATTTATCAATTAAAAAATGAAGATAAGAAATCAGTAATCAATCAGGTTTCCTTTATTCCCATCACATTAAAATGACATTAAATTCGTCTTTAATCTAACATAACTTCAAAAACTCTAGGGTATCTGTATTCAAAATCCTAAGCTTTAATCATCATCTTTGTTTAATGATTATTTAAACGTCAATAAGATTTACATCAGTCATTTTGATGAGGTGTTAAATCAAGCGTACATAAATTATAACTGATTTATTTTATGTTTCCTTTTCGAATTCTTTGTTATTATTATGCATATTAAAATATTTAGAAAATATTCTGAATAAATGTATATCAGCAGCATTAATAATAGATGATACCTTGTAAATACATAGCTAGTGTTATAATATAAAGTGATGTTTGACTAAAATAATCACTACATAATATAGTATTGATTGTAGGGAAAGTAAATAAATAAATCATCATTCACAGGTACAATTAATCCAACTATCAGTTAAATGTAGCAGCATACGACAGGAATTCTTAGATTTACCGTCTCAAAGTATTTTTGAGCAAAATAATTGGAACAAATTCCAAATGCGTGATAAATATTGTTTTGATAATGCAAACTTATCAACAAATACCAGTCTTATTGATTATTTAAATATGGTTGTTTATTAAATAATAAGAAAACATTTTAACTTAAATGTCACTAACTATTCTATAAATGTTAAGGTTACGGTACAGTACAGAATTATAATAATTTGGTCACAATTACTTCTTGTAGTGTCTATAAAATGAATCTTTCTTTTAGAATATCTCCAAGAATTCACCTGATTTCACAATGAAGTTGATTAAAGCTATAAGCATATTTTGTTAAGTTGGATATTTAATCTCATGGTTGATTCTTCATTTTACAAGTGAAGTAAATCATCAGTTACTTGTGTGTAAACAAGTGACTAGATGTTACATATAAAAAATAAATAGTTGATAAAAACAAGTACACACCTTCTTATTTACAAAACATAATAGTTATGTAAAAGATTATTTGATCAGGACTAATATTTGTAAACACTTCTATATTGAAATATTGTTAAATTCTATTACTAGAAATGACTGAAATTATAGTCAATATGGTTTATATAATCTTTGAAATTTCGGACATTATGATTTCCCGTTTTCATTAATGTACTGCCTTAAGTGCTGAACACTTTTTAAATCAAACGAAATATGTATATATTCATTATACATTTGGTACACTATCATACTTCATATCTTATCAGTTGATATATTGTCATTTATCTATACTTGATATCAATTTATGTGATAAAAACATTTTGTTATACATCCCCAACGAATTCTCGTAAATAATACAAGAAATATTAGCTTTCCAATTAGTTGACTAGTATGACTGAAGTGAAAAATGACTAGTGATTCATTTTGTTACTAGTAAGGAAAACAAACTAGAATAAAATAATATTTGAGGAATAATTCCAGTTGTATAATGAAAAATTTAGACGTTTTCTTTTACAGTTTTATGGAAGTCATATTCATCACATAGTAGAAATATCAAAGTATAATGGTATTGAGTTAACATTACTTTCAAGTTTATATTGGTAACAAAAAATTTTTTTTAATTGACTTTAGAAATGTTTGTGGATATATGATAAAGTTCCATATTTAGAACATAAAAGATAAGCCAAATTAAGAAAAGAATTCGGTATTATACACAACTCCACGATATTGTAAAGAAAAATGTTAAACAACCGATGTCTGATTTGTCTCTGTAATAACAATCCGAAGTTATATAACAAAATTATTCATAAAAGTATTTATTCTTTCTAAAAATAAGATCTATGTCTAATTCTGAAATAAAGGTTTGTAAAATTTGTGGGAAATCCCATATTCATTCTAATTTTTGATCTGTTTCATCCATTTTTATGGATTTTCCAATCTTTTCAGCAAAAAGCGATTCATTTAGAATTTACAATAGTCCAGCTGTAACTTCATACACCACATGGTTATCACCAAAGAGAATTTCTCTAACCATAGATTAGGTCTAGAGACTACATTGTGGTCGACTAAAGAAACATTCTTTTAAAATATTACAAATATACTTTGTTTCCTACTGCACTTTGTAGATCTATGTCGCAGAATGATTTTGTAAAACAAGTATTAAAATCTAGAAAAGACTAAACAAACTCTTCATCCTCCTATAGGACAAATAAGCAGTCCGCATCCGTAGTTAGGCCTGGGATCGAAACCAGAATCTTCAGGTTAGTATTTATTATCCTCCAGACCGATTAGTTAGCATTCAGTGGAGTATATTTCCAACTTAGGTCAATTTTCAATATTGTGCAACTCCAACTTATTTCCATTGACGATATTTATCTCAGGTTTGACATGAATAAACTCCACTAATCATGGCTACTCACTAGAACTCCGAGAATTACCTTTCGAAGTATCAATAATTTTCTTCATTCGTTTTCATCATAGTTTGAATGAAGTAATAACGCATTTTTATTGATTTACTCTGATACGTTTTCACACATTTACAGTTTTTAAATCTAGTATTCTAGTCTTTTTTGTTGTTATTTTTTTCAGTTTTTATAAAGATGACACCATGACTGTTGCATTTTGTAAATACATGTTGTGACAATCTAGAATGATCGCAGTTTTGTAATAAGAAGGTTCAACTACAGTTAGGTTCACAACAGCTTAAGAAAATATTGTTTCAAACAATTATATCTCTTTTGAAAGTTAATAAAGTCCTTCACACGTTCTTCTAGAATAAAAGTTTCTTAACAGGAGTAAAAGAATGTTAGTGACTTTTCTGTTGTTGTTCATTATGACAGTTTAATTTCATTGTTAATAATTGAAGAAATTTCTATTTTAGGTTTTCAAATGTAAAGTAAAATAGAGTTCCAGTTTTCGTACCAGTTAATTACAGTATTTCAAGTGTTCTGTTAGTTTATTTGTAAAAAGTAAAACAATGGACTGCAGATGCAGCAATTGAAGAATTAAGGTAACTTGCTTCTCAATGTCTTTACATAATGAAGGACTCATAATATAGCAAGATTTTGCGCCTTTATTCCAACCATTAAAAGTAATAATTAACAAACTTCACTCTAAGACATTTAATGCACGGGACTGACAGATTATTAACTATCACAATGGAAATTTCATACAGTTAGTTTCCTTTATGGATTTGAACAGGCCAAAACCAGTATTCGATGCAGAATAATATGATTTCACATGAATATATGTTAATTACTATTCCTACCATATTGAAACGTGAAATTACATTAGTGCCCCACATTAAATTGTAAAGTCCTCACCAACAGACCTTAACATTATCTATACGAGGCAAAGGGTGTATGAAATATAATGTTAACAGTTCCATATAGCTGAGTGACTTCAAATGGTATCGAACCTTATATTCTTATTTTTGGATTGCCAAGACAATAGTAATATTCTCTGAAAAACCGTTATCAAATATGTTTGTTAGATAGATGGATAAACAACGGGACAAACTAATATGATCAAATACACTTGCATCATCTGAAAAATGTTTCGGTAACTAATGTTATTTCATTGCATTATGTATTTATAGACAATTCTATCTGGGATTATATCATTTCATACTGCTCGAATCATGTTCTAAATTTTAGAATAATCATAAGATTAACACAATGAACTAGCTAGTATTTTTTGCATTTTTAAAATCCTTGTTAGTATACGACTGTGTATCAGTTCAGTTCTTTAAAACTAGTGGACAGACTTCTTGTCAGATTTCTTACTAACAAATAACTTTAATCCGGTCTTGTCAATATTATTAGGATTTAGTAATGAATAAAGATCACTTTGTTTATAACTAATACAGGATATTGGTGAAAGGTATCGATAAGAACATCAATAATTATCATTAGTCTGAACTGTTTGATGTGTAATACTTTATCCTTAATTTTTAAATCATGTTTAGAATGGTTAAATATAAAGATTAAAAATAAATAAAATATTCAACGTCGCTTCAAGTGATCTTTCTTCAGAAATCCTGTAGCGAAACCACGTGTTAAATAATTAGCTAGTTTAAGGTAAATTACAGGATAGTTTCATTCACAATTTCCTTGAAAGTACGTAAACACTGGAATAAAATCGTTCTAAGAAGCTGCTTTGTTAAATTCCATAAAGTCTGCTACTACTATTTAGAAGGATCCAAAAATTTAACACTTAGTGAGAATTGTGCGAATCTTTGAACATTATATCTCTTACCAATCTTAACTTGAATTATACTAGGGCTTGTTTCCAAATGTTACTACAATTACATTTACTCAAAATTACTTAGGTAGTTAAGAAAATACAATGTCTCTATGAAATTTGGTAAATTTCTTCCCAGAATTTTATGAATCCTCATATTTATGAATTATATATTTCTGGTAGGAATAGTTTTTTTCTAGAACCATATACAAGATAGATAGTGGTTAGCAGTGGAATAGAGGACGCGCGTTGCGTCTCATTTGGTACTCCTAAGCTAGATGTACCTGAATCTCAGAGTTGATGTTCATTCTGGGACTATAACCCAAGTGGCTATCAGGGCTCAGTATCTGAGTGGATAACGCGATGGCGTTCAAAACGAACGCTACCGGATCA